TACTTACTTACTTACTTACTTACTCACTCATGGAGCCAAGCCCTTCTTGAGGAGAGCCAATTCTGCAGCTACTCAAGAATTTCCCAGCATTTTATGGAGCCCAAAGGTTCATCACCATGTTCACAAGAGCCCTCCACTGGTCCCTATCCTGAGCCAGATCTATCCAATCCATACCACCCCATCTTATCTCTCTAAGATCCATTCTAATATTGTCCACCCACCTACGCCTTGGTCTTCCCTTCTGGCTTTCCCACCAATATCCTATATGCATTCCTTGTCTCCCCCATTCGTGCTACATGACCTGCCCACCTCATCCTCCTTGACTTTATCATTCTAATTATACTTGGAGAAGAGTACAAGTTATGAAGCTCCTCATTATGCAGTTTTCTCCAACCTCCTGTCACTTCATCTCTCTTTGGTCCAAATATTCTCCTCAAAACCCTGTTCTCAAGCACCCTCAGTCTATGTTCCTCCCTTAATATCAGAGACCAAGTTTCACACCCATAAAGAACCACAGGCAAAATTATAGTTTTGTAGGACCAGAATGAAACAAATAAAAAAAGTTTGTAGCAGTTCTGCAATTATTTTATTGCTTTTCATATATTATTAAATGCAATCTTGATCTTGTTAACAAGAGAGTGTATCAGATTCTCGAGTTTCATTATACTACTGAAATTAATAACAAATGGAAACCTCAGTATTATTACTTCCTATACATGATATATAACACATTAATGTAACTGAAAAGCTATGTTCTGTGCAGCTTTCAGGTATAAGTTGTAAGCAAAGTTATGAAGTTGAATACAAGTATCTCTGATGGAAACAGAATTTTCTTTCAAGTTTACCCACCATCAGCTTTCCTAAACACAAGTATTCTATATATGTTACAGTTCAAATATCCATTGAATTTCAGTAAGGGAGCGTTGAATTGTTCTTATTTTACAGGCACTGGTAAGAACCTCTGCAATACAATATATCAGGTTGCAACATTATTTATCGGGAGAAAGTTTCTCACTGAGTTTAATATCATTTAACTCATTCCCTCCATATGGTTTTGAGCGAAGTGATATTAAACTCAGTTCGAAAACAGAAAACACACAACAGAGTAAGAACCTCTGCAGTACAAGATATCAAGTTGCAACATTATTTATCTGGAGAAAGTTTCCCACCAGTTCCTGTAAAATATGAGCATTTCCTTTACATCGATTATTAATTCTAGCCACACGTGTGAACCTGTGATTTTTCAGGAGGGAGCAGTAAAAAGTGCTGGTGGTATAATAGCATACTTTCTTACCGACAGGGCAGGTGGTATGATAGAATACTTTCTTACCGACCGAGCCCTAGGCACTGGCGACAGGCATTTTTTATTTCAAAAGATCTGCCTCTGGGCACCATGGCAGCAGTGATGCCTCATGACGTCACGGCGGTTATGTTGCCCGCCAATAGCATTGAGTTGCATCCCCCTGGTCATAACCATCATAACTACATTTTGTCGCCATCTACTGTCGTCGTTCAGTATACTGCGGCAAACTCCTTGCAGCCACTGCAGCTAAGTCGATTAAAATGTTAACTACTATTGCAACAGCCTATTCGTGCCAACAAACTCCTTGACGCTGAGCCCTTCTTGAGAAGCCGCCAATTATGTTGCTACTCAGAAACTTCCCAACATATTATGGAACCCGAAAGTTTGTTACCGTGTTTACATCAATGGCTAATTCCTTATCCTATATGTAGTGGATTTATGGAATGCAAATAAATGAGATGAGACAACATCCCTCCAGTGGCTCCTATCCTAGGCCAGATCAATCCAGTCAATATCACTCCACTCTCTCTAAGATTCATTTTAATGTTATCTTGGTCTTCCTAGTGGTCACTCTCCTTTGGCTTTCCAACCAATATCCTACATGCATTCCTCTTCTACCCATTCGTTCTATATGCCCTGCCCACCTCATCCTCCTTGACTTGATCATTCTAATTATACTTGGAGAAAAGTACAAGTTATGAAGCTCCTCATTATGCAGTTGTCTCCTCTCTCCTTTCACTTTATCTCTCTTCAGTCCAGATATTCTTCTCAGCACCCTGTTCTCAAACACCCTCAGTCCATGTTCCTCCCTTAATGTCAGAGACAAAGTTTCACACACGTTCAGAACTACAGGCAAAAATATAGTTTTGTATATGGTAATTTTTATGTTTTTAGACAAGAAGACAAAAGGTTATGGATTGAATGGTGGCAAGCATTACCCCAATTCAATCTCTTCTTAATTTCCTCCTTAATCAAATGATTTGTTACAGTCATTCCCAAATATATGAACTGTGTTACATTTTTTAAATATCTGATGGCTATCTTATGGGAATAACGTCTTGAAGTCCAGTTAAATTCTGATATTTCGGAGGACCTATCACCTCCCATCTACGAGTCGAAGAGTAAGGAAAACAAGAAACCAGCATGAAGCAGGCAGTAAGCTCTTCTGTCACCACTGTACGAGCCTCAAACCCAACAGATTCATCAGCGCTCTCTTAATTTTACGATTCTGTCCTGCTTTCTGGTGACCCAATAAACACATAAACATAATTAAATATTACATAGGAGAACATGTTGTTTATTGTATTAATTTGGTATCAGTATATAAAGGGGCACACGGTAGTGTAGTTGTTTGAGGCACTATGCTAAAAGCAGGAAAGGTCGCAGGATCAAATCTTGATGAGGTTATTGGATTTTTCAATTAATCTAACCCTTCCAGCCGCACTATGACCCTGGGTCGACTCAGCCTCTAACATAAATGAGTAAGAGGAATTTTCCTGGGGGGGGGGTAATAGACGACCAGCGCCTAAGGCTGACAACGTTGCCGCCATTTATGAGCAGACTGTGTAGAAGATGTGGGAGCCTCGACCTCTCACATCCCTATGGGCCTTCATGGCCTGTTACAGGGGCAGCTTTACCTTTTTATAAGTATATAATTATATTATAATTTTTATACCACGCTTCTTTGATGGAAATCTCACATATAATTAACATAACCCACATAATTTTCTCTGCTCTAATACCATATGTTGTGTTAAGATCGATCTATTCAGGATCGTGCTACAGGCATCACAATTCCATTGCTTAGAAATCCTTAGGCTGAAAACGTATATTTCTAAAGCTTGGGCACAGAGTGTACAGCGGTCCTTGACGAAAACAAGAAAACTGGAGGATGCTACACAACAAGGATCTTCATAAGCCTATACAAATCACATAACATTTTTAACGGGAGTCATGGTTCAGTATATGTAGCTTGGGTGGAAAGGAAAGCAGGCATATTTTTTTAAGAAAAAATCTTGGAACATGGCCAGATGAACGATGGAGACAAAAGAAAATAATGAAAAAAATCATATCCAATTATGTTTCTCACTAAAAAGAAACAAAGGTTTACACCCCTATAAAATAAGAGAAGCAATTACAGTTTTGTACACTTAAAAATTCCACGTTTTTTATAACGGACAAATAAAAACTTCTCAGCCGAACGTCAGGAAGCATTCCATGAATTCAATCTGATCTCTATCTTTTCCTGACGTAATTTCGATTCGTTACTGTCGTTACCGAATGTATGTTCTCTGCCGCACGTTGAAAGCAATACCTGAGCAGAATATCCACCCCCCCCTCCCATATGCCTTCATGGTGTAGTGCTTAATTAGTTAAGCACAGGGACAACTTTAAATTTTTACTTTATGAGCAGAATATATTGTTACAGATGTGACTGCTATATTCTGTCCGAGAGATATACGTTTCATGTCCTGAAATATGTGTGTGAGTAAAGTATAACGCACTTATTATGTAAAATATAGATCTATTTCTTCAGAACAGGAAAGCGAACTTATGACAGGAGTTCTACTTGCGATGGATAGGCCTTACTCATTGTCGTCATGAATTAATGGGCATGAATTAAGGGCTTCTTAAGTTTAATTTTCATTGGAAATACGTAACACATGTTTGGACATATGATGAAACATCTTGTACTTCGAATGTGGCGACACAAGCCTAGGAATGTATTTGACAGCCACCGAAGACCTGCACAAAGCTGTATGAAGTTATGGTCATCAAGGTAAATTTTATGGTTCCAAAGGATTAGGATTTATAAATTTATCCGCAACAAGTAATGACACGCATTTTACTTCTGGCTGCAGTAAGCTTAATTAATCACTACTACGGAATCACAGCAAGTTGAATCACGCGATAATGCTCCTGGCTCGCATGCGGTAATGCCCAATTCGGATCTGGGCCAGTGTGCCAACTATTTCTCAGTCCCTCCACATCCTTACCAATTCATTACTGACTATCAGGCCGTCTTCCAACGCTATACAGTCAGAGCTACTGACAGCGTCGTTAAATACGCTACAAACGAACGTAAACCATAGAACAAAGTTCCTTCGAACTGAACCTGTGCTTTTGGTTTACGATTCAGTAAAAGATGCACATAACTCTACGATATGTTCTTTGCAACAAGTTTTACGAAACTTCTTTAAGTAATAATCTATCGATGTTCGTGAATCCAAATCAAGGGACAAACACGTGTAGCTCCTTGGGAGCCGTTACGAACTGGTCGCATTCTGACACGATGGATTTACTTTTTTATGGTTTATGTAATGGGGTCAGCAGCCCAAGTTATACAGCGTCCAATGGTGGAATGATTCATGAACTGGAAATAATAGTGGCTTCATTTGATGCTATATGCAGACATTCATCTGGAAGGACTGAGGAAAACCACAAGAAGCCTCCATCAGGATCATCAGTGTTCCCGCCAAGATTTGGGCTGAGTACTTTCCAAATAAAATTCAGAAGAGTAAATTCTCAAGCCAACTTGCTTGGTGGCTCCACAGAGCAGGGTCATTCTTAAGAAGTTAAGTCTATCAGCTACTCAAAAAACTTCCCGCCATTCCGCCAATTATGGAATTCAAAGTTACATTATATTCCACAAGAATGTATGTATGAAGGGGTAGGCCTACTCGGCCCTTGCACTTAGACCTCAGTGGTCCATTGTGCTTCCCCCTTTTAATTATTCCCTCAGCAAACCCATGCTTCGGATGAAGCGTAGGATTTTGGATGTGGGGGCGTCGAAATAGTCACTTGGTTCCATAAGTGCTGACCCAAGTGACATAGTCTTAAAGAAGCTAAAGCCTCACATTCACACAGGACGTGTGTGGCTGTTTCATTTTCTATCTGACACCTCTCACAAGTGGGACTATCACTTAGTCCCAGTTTGAACAGGTGTCCTTTGAGGTAAGTAGTAAGTAAGTAGTCCTACCACCCATCGTAGCTGGTTCCTGTTGAGCTTCAACAGTTCCTTCGCTCTTTTATCAGAAGGTCCTCGTATGAGTCCCTTAGCTTGCCTGAGTCCAGTTAAGGATTCCCAGTATTTCTTATGTTTTATGTTAGTCCAGTCCCTAATTGCCTGTTTGGCAACTTCTAGAGAGATGCCACAGGCTTGTTCAGGTCCTATGAATGGATGTTCAGCTCCAATTTTAGCTAATTGGTCTGCTGCTTCATACTGTCGTGTAATGCCCAAGGCTGAAACTAAGTTTCCGCCTCGTACCATGGCAGTACACACCAGCTCCAATGCCTCTATGTGTCTTGGTACCATCTGTATACCAGATCAGTCCCCCTTTTCTGTCAGGCTGAAACCCGTCTTCCCATTCACTCCTTTCAGGAAATCTTTTATACATGTCCACACTTAGCAACAGCGCTACAAAGCCATACTGGCTCCAAATATTGTCCAACTGCTTTGGAAGTTTTCCAGCCTTCATTTCTCATAGAATCAGACCCATGTTGCTGTTATGCAGCTGCCCTCTCCCTAGGGCAGTATATTCCACCTGCCATGGCACTTCAGAGGACATGCCTCCATTAGTGTGCTTCTGCCACTGGCAGTCTCAGCCATCATAAGAGGCACCTCCTTTGAGGGTTGAACAAATGTCCTTTTCCTGCATACAACAGCTTGGTGAGCAGTCTCAGAACCCAGTTCCACTTGGCTATCCAATGCCCCCAGGGGACCTTCCAGCCACACTGCCACAACTCGCTAACACCATGCTGCTGTTGTTCATATGTGGGAATGAATCCATAGATGCATCATGAGCATACAAGACATCCAGCCCATCATTAGCTTGTCTGTGACTTTTGCAATGAACACCCAAGTCATCAGGGGCCACTGCTCCAGGGTCAACTCTACTAATGCTTCCTTCAAAACAGGGTCGCCCCTGAAGCCATCTGCAGGATGTATGGCCAGGTCAACTATCTCTCATACAGTTCTGGTGATTGTCACAGATGCCTCTGCATTGATGACTTCAAGACATGACTTGTCCCTGGCTCTTCCTTGCTGACATATGAGTAGGCAACAATGGGGCAAGAGTGAGGGAACCAGCACCTTCTTTGCATTCTCTCCTACTTGTTTCTTCGGCCCCAGCTGATCTCTTCCCAGACAGTCCTTCTGTGTGTATCCCTGTTGGCAGTCTCTCCTATGATGGCTGATGGTCCCACACTACCAGCAAATGGGACATCCAGTGTAGCAGTGCTCAGCTGCTGGCAACTGTAGTCACTCAGGCACATATGCCCTTCCCATGCACACCCTTGATGGTGGTCTGGCTGCTGCCTTCGCTGCCTAAAACCCTATCTGTTGCAGGTCCTGTGTTCCTGCAACCTCTGTGATCTGCTTTGTCTCTGACTTCTGCCAGTTGCATTTGAACTCTCACCATGTGGCTTCTACCAGCATACTGGTCACTTGTATGTAGAACCATGTCCTTTGTGTCCCCACGCTGTGTTCTTCATGGAGCCTCCTATTCAATTTATTGATTTACATCAGGATGCCCTCTACCCATATGTTGATGGTTTCCTCAAATTCAGACAGTATGTAATTTAACACAAGTTTTCAAACAAAATCAATCCAACATAACTGTACTAATGTTGGTTTTATTTTAGCATCTGCTGCATGTTGTACTGCACACTGGCAATGTAAAGTTTGTTTCTTGTGAGCCTGCCATGGTGATTTCATTATAATCTCCCTTGTGACTATTCATTTGAGGCTACTGTTGTGCCTAAATTCCCTAATGACTATTTTAGTTAACTGTTGTAAGTCTTGCATTTTGTATTTCTGTCCATTCCGTCATCCTGCATAACATCATACAAGTAACCTGTATACATTTCCAATATTTATGGTTTTTGCTCCATTTTGTTAATGTTTTACGTTCTTTTCCCATCTGTAATTTTTTATTTTGCATAGCTATTGTTTTTGAAAAGAAAAAAATAGCTATTCTGTTTTCTTCCAAAAACAGAATAGCTATCCAAGTTATATTTGCGTTAAGCAGACTCATGCCCACCTGCTTGTAGTGCTGCAATCCTAACCTTGTTAAATGTAGTGTCAGTCTCTTTTGACTTGCCAATCTTGGGCCCCTGCTGTACATCGTACTTATTCTTATCATGTTATGCCTGCTAGTCTTATCTCTTAACTGTAGTAGTACTATCGTGCTCATTAGTCAAGGTATCCCTTTCCACCTCAGGAAGTGTGTACTCTACGACTATCATGAACAACCTGTACAACTAGACACAACAATCAGCCAGGTATAAAATTAATAAATAACTTCAAAAAGACGGAATAGACGAAGCAAGAATAAATAATCTCTGAAGAGAAATAGATAGAGCATTACATAGAATTGTGGTAAAATACAAGAGGAAATACAAAACATGGAAAGGAAGAGGAAAACTGGAAAAATTCGACTGATTTAATAAAGAGACTTTAGGAAAATGACTTAGGGCAGCCTTTCATATGCAGCCCCAGCAGGTACTCTTTTCAACTTTTAAGACAAAAGCTGGATGATTCTGAGGTGTTATTCCAAGTTCAGTTGTGAAACTGACGACACAAGAAAAGCTGCTACTAATTTTGCATGGACACAGCAGTCACACCCTGAGTCTGGCTATTATTGAAGTTCCTCGCAAACATAGGGTTGTCATTTTGTGGCCGTCTTCCCACAGCATGCATCCAATGAAACTTGTAGATGTCATGTTTTTCAAGGCACTGAGTGCACACTGTACATGGCATCAGTGATTGGGGCAAAGCTGAGGGAGGAATGCGGGCACCGACTGTCAACAAAAAATATCACGTCACTAGTAGGCATGGCATTTCAAGAGCTGCAGCAATGCAAATGGCTATGGATGAGTTCAGGAATAATGGGTTGTGGTCTGCAGATCGTTATGTGATTGAGGATGATGATTTCGCTCCTTCCATGATCACTGATCGTCCTGAGACAATCCAACAATCCAGCTGTCTGTATGATCAGTAAGCAGGCATTAGGTGTGCCTGGCTAGGTATGAGTCCCTCCTCGATTCATGGGGACAAGGTATGTCTACGCATATGAGTTAGGAATTCAATCACAAGAGGCCACAGTCCCTTCCTTTAAAACGTCAACAGAACAAAATGAGTCAATAGTGGAAAAGAAAAGGACACACTTTGTAATATAAAACATAAACTCTCAAAGGTGAATATCTACATAAAATCATAATTTTTCCTCTTTCCTTAATTATGAGGAGTTGTGGGGAGGGGGGGCAGGTATTCAGTCCTGGCCCCATCTGTTCATACAGTCACGAGTCACCACTGCTGCCTGTATGAATAATAAGTGAAACAATGAAATACTTCAACACACACTGGAAGCAGCAAAGAAGTTAGAAGCATTTAGTACATGAGAAGAGTAATGCTGAGAGAAAAGAGTTCATGGAAATTTCAATAAGACATTTCCTATCAACTCAGATATTAGGAGAAGAAAAGCAAGCAATCTGAAGTAAAATTTAGTAACTCAGGTATTTTTTTTTTTTGCCAGATCAGAAGAACATTCCAAAAATGTAACAACTGCATCCCTCAGAAATTTTTCGTTAGCAAAAAGGGAAAAGCCATTTTAGACAGCAAAACTGTAAAACACGCTATGTTAACTGCATCTGAAGTCTGTTCTGATGAAATAAATAATGTGACATGTTGACCCCTACCTCCCCCCCGCGGTGCGTGGCGGTGGCGTAACGCTCGCGTTCTTACGGTAATAGGCGAGTTCCCGCCCCGCCACTCCCCTCCGCGGCGACGTCACCGAGGGATATCGCGGTCGCTAGGCAACGCGAATCAACAGCGGCGACGTTACGATAGTAACAACGGTGACCTCCGCTAGCGTTACATAGCAACACAGCGTGGCTAGCAACAAGGGTGCCTATTACGTGGCCGTTTTCCCGTATTGTCCGATCGAGGCTACATAGGGAGCAGCGAAGGCTATCCAGAGAGTAGTTGTACTGAGTCAGTCAGTGAGTCCTGGAGCTACCGCCGAGTTAGCCAGCAACTAGTCAGTTGTATTCTGGCATTTGGAGTGTACTATTTGTGATACTGCAGATAGCAGTAATCGTAAATCTGTAATTTGGGTGATTGTAAGCGCGAATGTGAAATAAAATTCGCTACATCGAATACATCGAGAAGTTATTCGTCGCGATATACCCCGCGATACGCGACAATAATTTCAGCTATAAACAGACTGCAACAAAATGAAGTAAGACTATTTGGGACAATATGGAGTCAAGAGTTGAAAAATGATTTAAGAGTGTACATTTCCTCTTTACAAGTAGATATCAAATACTGCCCAACTGTTAATAACTGCCATGACATTTAGCAACTTTTTCATAAGAGAAGAGTTCCTCATACTACTTCACTGAAAGAGTGAGCAAGGGGTGATGATATTTAGGTATTTATAATACCTAGAAGCAGTATGCACAGAAAGCAGCATGCCTCTCAAAATGTTAACATAGCACGAGGCACACATTCCAGAATGTATTTCTTGCTTTGTGCCAAAGTAAATTCTTCTTCAAAATTTCATTTCCCATCACCATACAATACATCAGGAACCTTTAAGCATAAAAGTTCCTCATTTTTAGCACATTATGAAAACTGTTACTAAGATAATTAACTCAATTAAGACTGCATCAATGCAATACACATTACAGAAGGTACTCTGCCATGATGAAGCTGAGTATAGCAATTTGCTGCTGTACATTCAATCAGGCAGCTCAGTCCAGGCAAAGTGGTCGTGAGGTTCCTAAATCTTCTGGAAGGTATAAATGTGTTCCTGCATTCATGCAATTGATACTATGCAAGCTGGATGATGTGGCCTTGCTTACAGACTTCAGTTTTGTAATTTACACAAATCTAAACCCTGAACACGCTGCATTTAGAACTGTTCGAGGAAATTCAGCTCACAACAAAAACTGATCACTTCAGTAAATGCATTTAAGTACAAATTAGAACTGTGAAGAACCTTGCAATCTCCTCCCATACCTAATGTGACATCATTCAGAACTGCAGCCAAGGCAGATATCTTGTGTAAGCCACCTTGAAAAGCTCCAGGGAGAATTCAGTGACAATTACTGCAAAATCTATTTATTGCCAAAGACATAGGACTGCTCTTAATGTTGAGTAATTCCAGTTTGCAAGATACTTGCATGGTACATATACAATTAAACTGCTTACCTTTCTCTTATGTTATATATTTCGCATATTCAGTATCAAATTGTTATTGGAATTAATTTCCCTTAAAACTAATAAAATGTACCAGGCCTTTGAATTCTATTGTAATTAGAGTAAGCATGCACATAAATTTATAAGTATAGCTGGTGCAAATCATAACAGCAAAATGTTTTCATAAGCCCTTAAAGAAGATGGTTTGTATGTTACAAGGAGGTTGAGTAAAACTATTTTTTAATTGCATAACTTCATGGTTTTGCCACATGTGTTCCAACTTCAATTTATTATTTGTATATTATTCACAACTTTATATACAAATTATACAATACTTGGCACCTCATACCTATCTCTCTTAGACCTGTGGACACAATAAGGAAAACATTTTCTTTTTGAGGTAATTACAATATTAAATGAAGAATGATTAGTTTATTCTCAAAAACATATTCATTTTAAAGCAACATGACAAAAAAGTATTAATTTTTATTAAAGATAAATAAGGTGTTTATCATCATGCCACCTTCAGATTCTTTCTCAATTTGACTTTGAACTTTCAAGCACCATACATTTACCACTGCAACTCAAGACACTCTTATTTAAAAGGTAGGAAAGTTTTAGTAGATTGGATTTTAAAATAATAAACATGAAAACACTGTGACATGGTAGTTCAGACACTTCTATCTGTACACCCAATATCCTGGTTCAAGCTATTCTTTCCACAAATGACCACTTTTAAATATAGTCACACAGATCTGTATCCTCAAAACCACAATATACTTTGTACTTTTACTTATATCTTGCCAACCTACGGTTACATCAAGTTTCATTCAAAATAAAAAATTAAGTGCCACAGACTTCTGGCAAAGTCCGTTGATTTGGCATGGAAAACCTGTAATGAAATTCGGGAGTCCACATTGTTCAGTTTCACTGTGTTGTTTCACTGGCCACACGCTTCTTGTGCTGAAACAGATCATATACTCAGTTCGATAAATATGTCTACCACTGTGAGACTTGAGGTTCTCTTGGTAGTGACTAAGAAGATTTATGTCTTCTGGGAATGTGGTGTACTATAACCAACATTTCAGGGAATCTGACTGCTTCCATCAGGATAAAGAGAAAGATGAGTGTGGAACATACAGCATATAGAACTTCCCTTACAAGCACATGGCCCAACACTGATTAGGTTCTACCTCTCCCATGACCCTCTCATTCATTTTACCTTCTTTCAATTTTTGTTTCCTTACCTTCAGTCAGCCTTCCTCTTCTAATTCTTTTTTCTTTTCCTTCCTTGCTCTGCCATAAAGTTCAGTCTGTCCCCTGTGCCTTTCTTCTCTGATTCATTTTCTCCCACTACTCTGCCATAAGCTCCCAGGTTAATGTCTTTGTCTGTTCTATCCACTCTGTACTTGAAAAGTTCCCCCTTTTCTGTGCTACTGCTCGTTAATTCTCTCTCTACTAACTTCCTTCTACAGTGAAACCTCACTTATGCACTTCCTAAGGGGCTGCCTAAAATAAATATAAGATTGAGAAAAATGTAAGATCGGGTAAATGAGAATGATATAATGCAAAGAAAATGTCATTCCCTTTATATCTAACTTCAGAAGGTCATTTTAAAAAAATGTCTGAACACTTAACAACATTCCTTCGGTTATTTTATGATGCTTCATCAACTGCTGCTGTTATGTAGCATCAGTAAGATAAGATGATTATAACAGATGAATGGAAAGTCTGAGAAAGAAAGTGGTCATAATCTAATCCAAGGTACTATCCTAGCGTTGAAGCACAACAGATCACTGTAGGTAGCGGTGCAAGGGCCGAGAAGGACTACCCCTTATATTCATTCATTCATTCATTCATCCATCCATCCATCCTAGCGTTTGTCTGGATATACCAGCAAACGTGGTACATACCTAGTTACACTATTTCTTAACCGTCCAATAAGAGGCTTTTTGTTACTTTTATTCTTGAGCTTTCTCAGTCAGTACAATTCACTTTCAACTCTGAAGCACATTACAATACAGTTCTGGCTGCTTCCAGTCATTTCAGTGCATCCAAGAATGATGCTTTATGTTCTGCAACTTCCTCTTCTTCTTCTGACACAGTCAAATGTTGTTCTTACACCTGGTTGACATTCTGGATCCCATAAACCTTGAGAGCACTGTCACATGTTGTGTAGTCCTCAAAGTGCACTCCAAGAGATTTTACACTGTGCCAGTCACCCTCTTCATCTTCACTGAGTTTCACTGCACTGTCATCATTGCTGCTGACATGATCAATTGAGAAACCACACTTCACAAAGCAATTCTTGATTGCAGTGGGTGTTATCAATCTCCAGGCTTCTGCTATGAAGTGCACAGCAGGCAACACATCCAGCTTCACCAGTGTAGGATCTTGGAGCAGTTTCCTATCTATAATGGTCTTCTGAATCAACTGCTTTCTGTAATAGCACTTGAATGCATGGATGATTCCCAAATACAAGGGGCGTCCAAGTTCTAAGGTCTCCGATTTGTTTTCTCAGGACTGGGAGCAGATAGACATATGTGGTTTAGTTTAAAATACGTGTTCACTCTTTGTGAATGCATGACAGAGATGGCAGCACTCTACGGCACACAGAACTCTAGTGGTACCAGCGAGAGTGAGAAGTGTTTTTGATACAGCGAGTAATCATTCGTTTTCTCCACTTGCGTGGTGTAGCACCCATTGAAATTCATCGCCAGTTGAGTGAGACGTGTGGTGATGGTGTCATGAATGTGAAAAATGTGCGTTCGTGGGTGCGACAGTTCAAAGAAGGCCGAACGTCGTGTGATAACGAACCAAAACAATCTCGGCCTTGCACCAGCCGGTCTGACAACATGGTCGAGTGAGTTGAGAAAGTTGTTTTGGAGGATCGCCGATTGAGTGTGGAAAACGTCAACTCCAAAGTTGGCATTTCCGTGGGATCTGTACATAAAATCCTGCATGAAGACCTGTGAATGCGGAAAGTGTCCTCCAGGTGGGTGCCACGAATGCTGGCGGATGACCACAAGGCCGCACACATGGCAATTTGCCAGGCGATGTTGACACGCGATGAAGGCATGAATGGGACTTTCTTTTCATCGACTGTGACAATGGATGAGACATGGATGCCGTTTTTCAATCCGTATTGCATCAGCAATTTTCCAGTGGTCAAAACAGACTCCTACAGAAGCGTTCGCAGCGGCCATGGAATCATGGTGTCGACATTGTGAAAAATGTGTATGGCTGCAGGGAGATTACGTTGAAAAGTGACAGAAGTTTCAAATTTTTTGTATGTTTATTGTGTGAGAAAAAAATCGGAGACCTTAGAACTTGAACGCACAAGGCAGAAAAGCTGTTGCTGGCTGGTACAGTTAAGTGGGACAAATAAAACTTTTATTATTGAGAAATGTGTTCTCTGGGTGAGCAGCATTGAGCAAAAAAAAAAAAAAAAGCAAGATTCTGCAATTTCTAGCACACAGTTTTGAATCTACTCATGTGAAATAATCTTGAAAACTTTTGGTGGTGGTCTCAGAATTTGTATTAGTTTAATATTTTGTAGGCAGGATCTTGATATTCTTGAAACAATGTGAACGTTTATATTTTCCAGTTACAAGAGGTGGAGGGCCACGCCATACCTCAAGCGGTTAGTCGCTGGCTTCCCACCACGGCAGCCTGGGTTCGAGCCCAGGTCTGGTCAAGTGGCACTGGGACAGGTTTTCTCCAAGTACTTCGGTTTCCCTTGCCAATCTTCATTCCAACAATTGCTCCACAATCACCCTCACCTATCATCTGGTACAATAGGCCAGAAGTGGCCGCAGTACAAGGGACTTAGTCCCACCCCGCTAGCAATAAAAAAATACAAGAGGCGGTAGTTTATCATTGCCATCAGCACTGCATGTCAACAGTACAATAACCCTCTGTTTAGATTTTATATGGCAAAAATCTCCTTGAAAAGTGAATGATTTGCAAGGTTGTAGACCAAAAACAGACCAGTCACATCACCACTGTATGTATCACAGATGATTTTCTGCAAGAGTCAGTAATTTTTCCACTCTTCTACAGTTCCTGGATTAGCAATCCTGCTATCACCTGACAGAATTCTCTAATCAATGTTGTCTCCTCTAATATTTGCTAATCAATCCACTGAAAACCGAAAAGTTGGCTATTCCCAGACAAGTAGCAAGGTACAAGGCCTTCTCCTTGAGGTGGGTGTCAAGCATTATTCTCAAACCATGCAGCAAGTGCAGATCCCAGTTTCTCCCACGCAAATGTTTCAGCAATTTATACTGCTCGGACAAAAGTCCACACTGGACACAACTTCTCTCAGTTTCTTCACAGTCCCTAACAACAGAGATCAGCGTGGACACTGAAAGTCTCGAGCGTGATGCCAGTTCAACACATGCGCCAACATGTGTACCACCTTCTGCTGAAATATTAATTTCATCACTTATTTTCAATGATTTCCATTTTCATTATTATCCATAATTCATCCTCTTGCTGTGAAATTTGTCTTAATTGACAATAATATTTGGTCTCTATGAGAAGAAGTTACATGGGCACTGGAAGATTGAAGAATTTAACCTGGGTGCATTTCTGCCGAATGTTTTACTTATGAAAAAACACTTGTTGTGTTGGAATGGTCATTTCCTTATAACACAAGACATGAAAAAGAAACGACCCTTTCACTGAGTTTTATTAAAATGCAGAGAAAGCAAAGCTGACCTAACCAGTGAGCAACTTGGATTATAGAAGCAGAGAAATCCCCTCATGTCTGATAGGCCTTAGTTAAGTCACATGGTGTGTGCAAATCACTTGCAGCTGTGCATCAGCCAATTGGTGGTATGTACAATATATATACGGAGAGGGCAAATAAAGGAAAATGGTAACTGCAATCTCCCAGAATTGTTATCAGCCTTAGTTGAACACATGTTACTGAATGGAGCAGCACAAATTGAGGAAATGGCAACGGAACTCAAGGAAAGACTGAGAAACTCAAATTCCAGGCAATGGAGCATGCCAGTCTTCTCACAACTGCATTGCTACATGGTCTCTTTGTGTCAGCTGTTCTTTAAAGCACTTCAGTGATTCGTTTGTTTCTTAAGATGGAAATAAAGGTTGACTAACCCGCTAATTTTGTTTTTGTTCAGTTAATTGTGCAAGAGCCTGGTATATATGACAGCCATCACCCAGACTGTGCTAGGCAGGACAAAAGAGATTTGGCTTGGGAAAGAATTTCTCGTGAGATAACTACGTAACATAAAACCAGGTGAATTTTTGTAGTCAGGACTAGAAAGATGAAGTGCAAATGTAGGGAAAATATGCAGTTCAAGAAACACAAAATCTGTTGAAGTTTAACAGTATTGTTGTGGGAATTTTGCTGGAAACATGCAAAAAGTATGTAAATTCATGAAAAATGTAAAATCCAAGATCGTATAATCAAAGATTCAATTTATTACTCAACAGTTCACTCAAAGGCTATATTTCTCTCTCTCTTCACTCCTACTGGTATGCACAGGGCCCCATACCACCCTCTCCCAATATCCATAGTACTACTCAGTTAACTCTTCAATCGTGAAGATGGAGGCAGCCCATTCCTCTAGAATGTTGGTAAACATCTACCAGAGTACATAGTGTTATGTCACAGAAGTAGGCTGACCATATTCCCTTCAGACAAAACCGAGACAGGAGGGTGACCAAATTGAGATGGTATTATTGCGCCGCTCTGATGAGCAACCGCCGGCAGACTTTAAGTGTGTATCAATTCAAGCATGACAGAAACCATACATATTGCAGGCTATGGATGTAGAGGGCTGCATTTGGTCATCATCATTACTATACCATGTGTATTTCTCTGATGAACTTACTTTACACAACAAATTATGATCTTTCAATATCATATTATATCTCAGCATCCTGTTGCACTCTACACGATAAATGATACACACTCCGTCCCAAGTGCAAAC